AGGAGCCCAGGCCTTTCCCACAGTAGAGACCCAGGCTCCATCCTTCAAACCGCCCAAGATCCTCCACCTTCTAAAAGGAATCCAGGCTCTCCTTCTGAGTGCCCATCCCGCCCTCGAAGAACCTCGGGGTCCCTTTTCTTTCTTTCTTTTTTCTTTTTTTTTTTTTTTTTTTTTGAGAGAGAGAGAGAGAGAGAGAGAGAGAGAGAGAGAGAGAGAGAGAGGAGTCACAGATGTATGGGGAGGCCACGGACTCTGACATTCCTTCAGGGCAAAAGGAGAAGAGAATAGGAGCTTAAAAGTGTGCGGCTAAGACTCCAGGCTGCACGGAATTAAGTTTATTGTTATTTTTTTCAATCCTCTCCGCAGCAAGCCGCTTAAGGTGCTCCTTCCATGCCGGCGTCCCCTGTTACGGTGGCGGCGTCTGAGAATTAATCTCGGGTACCCGGCAGGTTTCCGAAGACGGAGAGGAGGGGCGGGGGAAGTGCGTCACCAGGTGGGGAAGGGGCTGTGCGCTCGGCGACCAGCGGCAGGGCCGGGGGTGGAGGGGAATGGGGACGGGAAATAGGTTCTGTGCGCTCTCCGCGGGTATTGTGTCAGGAGATGCGGGCTGGCTACCATGTGACGCGGTCCAGAGCTGAAGGGATTGGCCGAGGCAGCGCAGGCGGTGCAGCTCGTCGGCTGGCTGTTCCTCTCCCTTTCTCTCGCAGCATCTTCCCGGGAGCCTTAGGTGAAGCAGCACCAGCTGCATCCATGGCCTATCTTTGGGGTTAACACTTGTCTTTGGCTTCAGCAGCCACGGATACAGCCGATCGCCTGGCAGCAGCGGCAGCAGTGTCGGGAGGATTTCGCCGGGACCTGGAATCGTATCCTCCAGTATTTTTTCAGACTCCTTGGAAATTAAGGAATGCAATTCTGCCACCATGATGGAAGGTAGGATGCTTTCTGCTGTGTTTGACAGGCTTCGGGCAAGGTGATGGGCAGAACAGCGTGGAAGGTGTGCAGCCTGCGTTTGTGGCTGGTCTAGAACCTCGTTGCCAGGATTTGCAAGCAGAAGTGCTGCAGTTTGCTTGCAGTGGACCAGGGCTCAGACTCGTGGAATCAAACGACAGGGCTTCGCTTTAGCTCAGAACCTACAGAGCTCCCAGCTCTTTTAAAAGAGAAAAGCCTAAAGTGCTTGCAGGGAGCTGAGATAGAGCTACTGAAGAGCTTGCAGAGCAAATAAGTTGGGAGAGAAGATAAGGTTGTCTGCTCTGGGTTCCTGGGACGACACTGATTAAACATTTACAATGGAAACTTGTTTCCTGAAATTGACATTAGACAGGAGAGGTCATTGACAGAGTTATCCGTGCTGTAATTTTTACTGAACTGTTTTAAAAAATTTAAATTCTTGTAGGATATGTTTATCTCTGCAATTTGTATTTGACTGTTGGGGTGACAGATGCAGCAAATTTGGTCCGTAAGATACAGTTTTATGGGGATGTTATAGCAACGGAATGAGCAATATGAGGGAGATATCCAGGCCTCTTGGCTCCGGATTCAGGGTCTTATCAGGTTTTGTGTGTGTGTGGTTTCTAAAAATTTGTGCTTCCTAAATCGCTTCTTAGCCAAGCATCAAATGATTACTTAGTGATTACCTTTTACATTTAATATTAAGTGAAAGGAGGAACTTTTCCTGAGATGTTGTTTAAACCATATTTTATTCTACTAAATTACCCTTGCAAGCCTAAAATAGTGACAGCTGAGAATGCCTCAAAAAAGCAGCAAGCTGATTAAAGAAGAAACAGGCAGCCTGAGCCTGGCTTTGATTTTCTGTCTTCATACTACAGGATGGTGCAAAACTCCTGGCCTTTCCTAAGATGACAGGCAGAAATTTGTCCCCAGCCTGGATTTCACGATGCAGAATCCAGTGCATAATGGGTCTCAAATCAGCCATGAAAATGGCAGAGAGGCCACCTCTTAAACTAAGGTCTGTCCTAAAGATTTTAAACATTCTCTGGAAATTTACCAAAATGGAATGAGGAGAATGGTTTCAAAACAACAGCAGTGTAGCCTGTACATATTTGGCAGAAAATAATTCTTTTGCTCTCTCTATCCTGTCAAACATTATTAATGTGATCTGGGTGAGTGAAGAATTTTATAGTCATGGCCCATAGATTTTAGAAAATAGCCTTAAAAAAGAGATTGGATATCATTTTTTTATATGGAGCCTTGTCTTGTTTGCAAAGGGCTCTCAAGCAGTTCTTTAAATATAGGCCTAAATAAACGGAGATTACCAAGGCTCTAAGATTAAATCATTTTCATTAATTAAAAATGGATTTAATCTTTGAACAACAACACAAGACAAACAGAAAGAGTATTACTGGTGTACTTTTCAATTAGAAGCTCATGTAGATTGCCCTTTTCAGGAAAAAAAAAAAAATCCTGTCTATAGAGATACTATAGTTCTTTGCTAAATTTTAGGTAGCATTTCTTAAAATTAAATCTGCACATATTCTGACTCAATTTAATCTTACACCAGGGAGTGAAACATCTTTCATTTTGCTTCTTGCCTTGCAAACTATGGAGTGAAAGTGTCTTCTTTGAAGGAAGTAACATTTATTGGTGTTCATTAATGATTCTTCCAGTAAAATTGTCTATTGTGCCATCCCAGAATGCCCTGTGAGAAGCTTATTTGAGCTGCCTAAACTGAAATGAGAATTGTAACAAAGACTTGTGTTGGAGCTGAATCAAATCTATTGCTCTGGGTTTGCCAACTTTACCTAATGAAGGACATTGTCTTAGCACCTTTATGACTTATAGGTGACCCCCTGGATACCGCTAGTTACCTTCTGTCAGATTTTTGTAAAAGAAATTTGGAAAGGTGTTACCATTGACTTAAAAATGTAAATGAAACTAGTAACTTTTTTTTTTAATCTACACTTAGTTCCTACTTAAATGCTTTTCAAGACTTATCATCCTAATGGTTCAGGGATCTTAGAAAGGCATGTGGGAATCTTCACTAGAAATCAATTTACCTATCAATGACCTTCCACATAGTCCCCAGTCTTTGGGGCAGTATATATACATAGATGTTTCTGATATTCTATCCCAGAATTTCACTTCTGAATTTCTCTTATTCTAAAGGCACGGGATAACAGTTATTATTTATGTTAACCTCATCCCTAGTGGGCTGGGAGTGTGTCACCAAACATCCAGATAATTAAAATGATTCTCTTCTCAACTAGCATCTCTCTCTCTCTCTCTTTCTTTCTCTCTCTCTCTCTCTCTCTCTGTCATCTACATATATGCACTTTTCTAGAAAGGGAGAAAACCTACATTTGCACTTGTGTGTGTATGTAGCTCTATATTCAGTAAAGTGTTTGGTCTGCTGCTCAGGAAAAGCATGGCCATGGCAACTTTTCAAAGCTACTTCTCTACTCTGTGTAAAACAAGAGCAAACAAATATTCATCTGAATGGCTCATAGTCTAGTCAAGTGTACTTGTTTTGATGGAACAGGATATAGGTTCCATTCATTCAATGCTTATTAGAAATTCTTGTCAAGGATAAAAAACAGTGCTACCTCCTCAGTGATTCTAATATCATAGAAGGCAGTAAAATAATTCTGCAGGGACCCCCAGCAGGTTACCAGTAGTTTGCGGCTCCAAATATTTCTATTAAACAGTATTTTTAAGGGACTTGATTTGATGATTCCTGCACTCTTTATTTTTTAGCAGTGGTTGGTATTGAGTTATGTCTTTCCTAAGAATGCCACATGATGTGGAACCTTATGTAGTATGAATGTGAAGGGAAAGAAGATGAGCAAAGGGAATTATTTGCTAAATGGTGTATGGTCTAAGCGTACAACAGTCTATGTGATTAGGAAAACTGTTCAAGGGTTTTATTGATTTTTATGTTTTACTATTAAAATTTGAAAATGGCATTTTAGCTATCTCTTCTAAGGTAAGTGAAAAAAACTAAGTCGGGGTTTCTTAGGACATCTGTAAGACAGTCTGGAAAGTTTTCTCTTGTCTGTGCAGAACTGCGCTGAAGGCGCTTGTGTTCTTAGTTCCATACTCAGACTCTTAGGTATTATACTGGAAAGGTATGCTTTTTGGTGCCAATAATTTCATCTTATATAACACATTTTTAAATTAACAAGCATATTTTAAAGATTTAATTATAATATGCAAGGTGATTTAATAAATTTTGTTATAGTTACTATTCACAATAACCTGCATATAAGTATATTCTCTATATAGTACTTTTGCAGTATTGCAGTATTTTTTAAATTGAAAAAATAAAAATAATACATTGAGGCACAAATATGATGGAACTTGAACCCAAGTGCATTAAACAACAGTGCTCATATTTTGGAACCATCGTAATATTTTAAATAGGAACCTTTTCTTTTTACTTTGCATCAGGTGGTCTTGGTCGTATTAACCTAATTGAAAACTGGACTTAGTAGCTTCTTTGGTGGCATATTCTGTCTCTCTCTGTCTTTTAAATATGCGTACTGACACAAGGTCTCAATTCCTTGTTAAGACATATTATCTCTAAAATCATCCTTTAAAAAATTTTGAATACCTCTAGACTGACTGACCTTCTGTGGTTGCAATGACCCTTATAACAGTAAAGGCTTTTTTTTCTATCTAGAAATGGAGTTTTACTTATTTGGAAAATTCTTTGGTGTGATCATAAATGAACAATGCATTCTGAGATTGGAATTGTTCATTTTCTAGTTAGCTGAGAAGTTTTAAAAGAAATGCTTCTGCCCAGCCTTCGTGGCTGAGTGGTTGAGCATTGACCTATGCACCTGCAGGTCATGGTTCGATTCCCAGTCAGGGCATATGCCCGGGTTGTGGGCTCCATCCCCAATGAGGGGCATGCAGGAGAGAGCAGATTAATGATTCTCCCTCAGCATTGATGTTTCTGTCTTTCTCTCCCTCTCCCTTCTCTCTGATATAAATAAAAAAAATTTTTTTAAATGCTTCTAACTTTCCTACTGATTCCCTTCCTAGAAATAGTGAAGTTATTCTGGAAAATCTTAAAGTATGCATACGAGATTCTAATATATGTTCTATTATTTATGTAATTCCTCTCCTTCTTCAAGGTTCTGTGTCAGAAAGAGCCTCCTTATATGTATGTTTCTAACCAATTTCAGGGGTCAACTCTAAATCTCTCAAAAGAACATGCAGTCTTTTTAAAAAAATTAACTTAGATAAACCATTCTAGAAGATTCTGGAAAATTCTTCCTGTTGAATTTGGCACGTACACTATCCTTGTTTTAAATAAACAAGTTTCAGGAAGTCACCAACTCGTAGTTTTCATATTCCTTAAACTTTGTTTATGAATTGCTCTCTTGAAACAAGTTTTCCCATAGGGATAGTAATATAAATGATAGATTCTCACACTTGCCCATTGAAGACTATTAAACCCATTATCTAGTTGAAATGCTAAATGTTTTGCTATGAAGTATGTAAAGAATAGTACAGTTACTATAGCAATTATAGTAATACAATGGCATTAAATTGTTCTCAATTTTGAATGTTGCTCTTTGAGGGAAAGAAAACTTAATTAAAGGACTCAGAAGATAAAGAGAAAATTTGAAGGGGATTTTTAGGTATATTTTCAGAAGTTTTAGAGACTCGTGACACTGAATTTTTCAATTACATTCCATTTACTACAATACTTGTGTTTTACATTTTCTCAATTTCAATTTTATTATATCCACTGCTATTAAATTGTGATTATTTTCATTATGTAAATTCACCAGTGGAATTAAGAAAGGTAAAGAGAATTTACTGAGATGACTGTAAAGTAGTTGGAAGGGAGAAGAGAGGTGAAGGCATTTTAATGAATTTGGGTTCATGTCTGAAAAAGTACCTGAGGAAAAATGAACTGAGTGAGAAAGTGGTCACAGATAGAAGGGAGTTGGCGAGTATGGTAA